AAAACATGGCTTTTAAAAAAATGGTCTCATTTTGATCGAATGTAAGTAATTCAAATGAATCAAAATATTTGATTATTATTTTGAATAAAACTATCGCTTTATTCTTTTATTAAAAAGAGTATTAACTAGAAAAATTTCGATTTTAAATTGATATATAATTTACAATATATTTTATTTGAATTCTAAATATATGTTCTCAAAAATTCCTCACTAATATAAATGGATTTATTTCAGTAAATTTTTTGGAAAATTATTAAGTTTAGAACAATTAGGACGTTTTGTTTATTTAATCGATATATGACAGAATGTGCGCTAGAGTTGACAAATTAATGAAATTAATTATTTTTGATACTATACCATAGTGTAAAAAAGCACCTTTTCTCAGCAGATCTCAGTTTCCATACATGCAAGAGGTCTGAAAATTTGTATGCACATACTCCACCAAGAATATAGATCAGAAGCATGAGGTTACCTTGATAACTTAAACGTAAGAAGCATTATGATGGACGGCATCTATGTTTGCTACAAGCTTTTTAACTTGAAAAAGTTGTCTATTAAATTTTATACTATCTTTTATCAGATACATGACTAATTGGTCAACATTCTAGCAAGAATTTATGGATTTCGATGAAATTAATAGTGTAGATTGCCGTAAATAATGAGGAACCCGCTGGGGCATAAAATCTTTTTTGCTGTCAGAAGTATACAATTCAAAGATAAAATAACTGTTATCCATTACCAGCCATTATAGTTCTCGTTATATTTAAGTAGTCGAGGAAAGTTGGTGGCTTTGATATTATATTCTTGATGGATTATGTGCACTCAAATTTTCAGACCTTCACTACATATGGTAGCTGAGATCTGGTACGAGAGGAGGAAGACTTTTGTCCACTATTGTATTCATCAAAACAAAATATTCATAACGCATTGCTTGCGCATATCTTTTCTTGATATTAGCTGTTGAATTTTTGTGAAACACAATCTAAAAAGAGTATTGAAGTGTACAAATAGAAAACGAGACTATTCCGAAAATGTGATACACATACTAGCAATGCTTTTTCATCACAGGTCTTGATGAATGCTTCTCCTTCGTCAGAGATATTTTATTATTGCTGTACCTTTGTCAAGGACCGTGATAGACATATCGACAAGACCAAAGTCTACTGTAGGATTAGTATGAAACACGATTAAATTTTAAGTAACAGTTAGCAATAATTCACAAAACCAAAACATATATTGATAAAATCTCTCTCTTGTACAATGTCAGCAACTCCATCGTGTTTCATTTTTTAATACCATAAGAATTGCGATAACAGTTTTTTATTCATAAGTTTAGTTAGAAAATTAATTTTTTGGATAAATTTAGAAATTTTCACTATATATTTCGTAATTCTTTCCAAACATTTAAATCTTTGATAAGAAAATAATAGAAATATTCTTGTTATATATTTTAGTATATGTCTTTATGTTATCATAGATTACATAATTTTTTTTTTCTGATAACAATTATTTTTATGAAATCATAAAAGTAAATTTCTATAATATTAATAAAATAATTTCATTTGATAAATTTAGATTTATGAAACCACTTCTAACACATAGTTATCCTCCATTAACTGTTACATTACCTGCATGTCTTGTACCAATTACAAAATTTTTAACAACAAAAGAACAACGTAATACGGTAAGTTTAATTTATTTATAATAAAGTATGATTAGTTTGCTTAAATGGGGAAAATTCTATGCACTGCTTTGATTTTCTTTCTCTCTCTCCAATAATCATAGAATCGAAATGAAACATCATCACAAAATGTAACACCATCGCACGATAATCATAATGAATCCAAATTGAATCATAATTACAGAAATAATTCCACAGTTGAATTGATTGATTTGGACCTTACATCATCAAATTCACATGATTATTATCCAACAGAATCTAATACTAAATCAAATATACAGAACGATGTAAGTTATTTATAAAATATAGAAATAGAATGATAAATGAATAGATAGTTTGGATTTTATACATATACATATGTATATATATATATATATATAAATGAATGCATGAATGATTCCAGGAAACAAGTGTAAATCTTCGTACAGATAATAATGGCGATGTATCTGCACATTTTATTTCATCATCATCATCACAACTTTTATAAAGTAGATTTTATTCATTATTGCTTGCTTGTTAAATAACTAAATGTTAAATGCTAAATGTTAAACGCTTTTTTTATTTATTATTTGAATTAATTTCTTTTTTCGTTTTTTTTTCTTTACAGAAAAAGAAACTAAAATTTATCTATTGTCTTTTTTGTTTTTCTATTTTAGCCATTATTAGATTTCGAGATGAAACCAGATGTTCCATTCGATAATGAAACAATTATACAAGAACCTTGAATAAAATTATCAATTATTTTTTTTTTTGTGATATATTTATCTATATGGTTTTTAGTGTGCGTTTTCATATCGATATTTATTATAAATTATTATAGAAACTATTGTGATTGAACAAGTATTTTTTTTTTCTTCCTTTTGATGTTTCACGTATTCGTATATTTATTGACACATTTTTAAGTGCAAAATACATAAATAAAAAAAAAAATGAAAATCTATTCAATAAGTGCAATTATATCTTCTGAAACTATAATTTATTTTAAATGTCTTTCTAAATCATGTTCATTTATGTTGAATTCTTGTTCGGATGAGTTGGATTCATCAACAATTTCTTCACGTTTTGATAGATCTGTATAAATAAAATGAAAGAAAATTCTTTTAGAAATACATTGCAATAATAATCACGCTTATTACAATTAATTCCATAATAAGGCATTTTACAATAGCAAAAAATATGTTGTACATAATGGAACACATTAGCCTTCATTTTGGCATGAAAAAATTGCACAATAGTCTTTATGGAATCGACTACTGGCACCAGAACTGCTCGATATAAATTCTACATGGGTCATAGAGTTTGAGAACAAAAAAAAACAATGAAGATAAATTTTTCTTACTTTTTTCACAATGTTTTCCATAATATTCATCTGTACAGAAACAATAATGTAGATCACTTGCCAATGTTCGACATGTACCGCCATGTTGACATGGATTCTTAATACCACATTCATCCTATTTAATTTCGAAAGGGATTACAGATGAAAATAAATCAAATTTTGAAAAACAAACTTTTCACTGGTGAACTCGTATAGCGAGTACGAGTATGTCGAGATGTACTTCCAAATTCTATTAAAAAGTATAAAAAACAAAAGAAAGTTTGTCATAATAAATAGTATTTATCGTTTGATTTTTGTTTACCGTATTTATCATCGAAAATTGATGATCTTGAAAATGTAAGAATTCTATTACTTGGTGTTGTTATATACTAAAGCTGAAATTACATCGGAGCTTGGTTTTTCTGTTGTTTGAGGTTTTTTCTTAAATCACAAACGTTTTGATATTTCGACGAGATCTTAAAGAGAGAAGAAAAATCTTTTCATTTAGATAAATATTCAAAATAATTCACACCTTCATTATCATTTGTATTTTCTTCATTGTCAAGATTATCATTAAGTGTATGTTTGTTCACAATGTAAGTCCTTATGTTACAAAAGTAACAACAGTATCACGATTAAATGAAAAATCGATCAATATGATATACATTGAGAAAATATTTTCAAATATTTCTCGATTAAATAAAAAAAACTTTAAATAATAATATGTGAATTCTTGTAAAAGAAGAATTATTGACAATATGAAATTCATTTTATAATATAATCAAATCCTACACTGATTTCTGCACTTAATAACCTTTCTTCCGTTTCCATTTATATGCTAATAGGTTGATAAATGCACTCAGCGTCTCAAAACTCCGTCGAAAAAATGAATGTAAATGTCTCTTATACAGTTCAAGCAATTTAAAATGAATTGATAATCAAATATTCAATTTATTGTCATAATTTGCAGATTTCCATGACTAATCGTGCATCGAATTATAATTCTACAGGGTGTTGCAAAAATCAACCGTAAAGTAAAACTGCAATAACTCTTCAACAACAATTCACATGAGCTTGTCATCATTTCATAAGTTCAGTGAAACTAAACCAACTTCAACTTGATTAATAACATCACGAAAATGATTCACATGATCGAATGAAAATGTATAATATATTTTTAGTGGCGTTAAATGACAGTTACAATTAAAAGAATTCGTTTTTAGAATGAATTAACTTTTCATTTCAATCAATTTATCAATAAAAAGAAAACATAATTATATTGTGTTTTTCTGATATTTTGAAAATAATGGATTCATGTATTTTTCTTGATAGGAATCATTATTAACATTCTTTTTTTGATTCAACTAAATTATTTTAAATAAAATTTCAAAGAACATATTATCATATTACTAAAGAAAAGCAATCAAATCGCTTAAATTTGTTAAGAGATAATTATATTTACTTTTAAAATATTCTATATTTAGAAGTCTGTCCAGGACAATACTCTGATTGAAAGAAATTATAATTTCGTTAGCAATATTGAATAGATCAAATTTATCTTTATAATTAAGATTTAACATATCGATGAAATATTTTTTAAGATTAGAATAAATTATGTCTTTTAAGTGAAATGAATTTTTATTTCAATTAGCATTGTTGTTGTTGTTGTTTTTTTCTTATTGAAATCAACCAATCTATTGAACTATAATTTTCTCATGTGTGTGAGTCTAACTGACTGCAAGAAAAAAATAAAAATAGAAAAAATTTCGAAATCTGACACGAAAGAGAAAAAAAAACTTATGAAAAAAATATTTTCAGAAGAATAATATGGCAATATCATGTGCAAATCATGTGTTTTTATCTGAATCATATAAGTAAAAGTTAGGTAATGAAGATAAGAATCAGAATAAAAAAGAAAAGAAGTAAAAGAAAATTCAGTAGTCATTTCACAATTGTGTCCCTTCATTATATATGATAAACAGTGATAAGAATATAAGTTGAATGATGTTACGAATGTTATTCTTTATATGCGTTTGTCTTCTTGTCTATATTCCACATACATCTATTCAAGATGTATCAATATCAAAAGACAATGTTCAACCTTCATTACCACGAACAACACCATCTAATACTACAGAAACTATTGAACAACTTATTCGTTGGTTAACTGAACAACAATATCAATATGAAATAGCATATTATGCATTAACGTTAACTAATGTTTTTCCAAATTTTGCGAAAATATTTCATGAACAAAGTGAACAAAAGTATGTTTTTATTTGTCATTCAAAAAACTAAATAATTTTTATCTCTACAGATATAATGATATCAAAAGTCTTATTCGTCTTAGTCAAATACTTAATCTCGATATTAATTTAAGATTTATATCATCAAATTTAGTTAATCGACCAATTCGTTTTTTATCACCTGATCGAATAAATAAAACAAATTTTATTGAATTTTTTTCCATGTTAAAATCCCATGAATGCGAAATAACATTTACAACATTATCGAATGCATATCGACAAGCAATAAATATGACTGTTCCATTACAAATTTATTTAAAAGAAAAACTTTTCATGAAACAAATTTTAACATGTAAATTAATATCTGATCTTTATCGTCAACTTGATCGTTTTATTAAACCAAGTTCGAATGATCGTTCTATTCCATTTTCACTAATATATATTGATTCTCGAGCTAAACTTATGTTGTCACAATAATTTTATTGATTTGAACTTAAAAAACTATGATAATATTTTTTTTTCCTCTTCAATAAACATTGATCATATCTACTAAAAGTACGAAAATATTCTAATTGAAAAAAGTTTCACTTGATAAAAAATCCATATGTTACATACCATTATGTAATTGAATTATTTTCTACATCATTAATTTTCTTAATGATTTGTAAGAATAAAGAAGAGAGGAGAAAGGGCAAAGTTTAAATAATAAATATATGTGCCAAATTTTGTTTATTTGTCATTTCCTTTTCAAAAGATAGAACGATTATTTCTTCGTCTATAAAGTTAATAATGGCTCGATTGAACCAAATGATTACTGTCATTATCGTTTTAACACTTTGCACTATTGGTTATCTTAACGGATTTTCATTGAGTCGGTAAGAATGTTCTTAAAAACAAAAAATTTCTTTGATTTGCTCGAATATGTTGTATTTTTATTTTTTTAAAGTCTATTTTCATCGGAAACTTCTAATAGAGTCAAACGAGCTGATAGTGATGATCCAATTACTCGACGTATTCAAACAGTAGGAAATCTAGTGTTCGATAGCAACGTTACACCAACCGCTAAGATTTCTCGAAAGTTTGTGTCTAATTTTTATTTAAATATTTCAAATTAATGTTTCTTTTTTTTTTCTTCAAAGAATTGCTTGTTTCTTCGTATTCGATAAAGAAGCATCCGCTGACCTCAATAACAGTTTGAGCTATGCAAAAAAGTATGCTACTCAATTAGCTACACTTGCATCAAAATATACGATACATGCTAATATTAAAATAACTAATGCAGGCACTGAAATATGGTCAAATGGTGATCAAATATCATTTCCTATTGGCACTAGTTCGTATATAGCTATGCCAGATATTTTAACAAAATTTCAAACATATTTGGCTAATACACAAAAATCACGTTTTGGAACTGTTTATGCTGTTGGAGTACTTATTTCAAATAAAACATTATTAGTTGCAGGAGGTTATTCTCAAGGGCCCATATGTACTACTTCAGGTAAATCATTCTTTTCTGTCAAGAAAATATTATTCTATGTTTTTTTTTTTTCTTAGGTGCTTCACTCATTAATTATCGACAATATCCATGGTCGATTGCTGGTTTACTTGCACATGAATTAGCACATACACTTTCTGTTGTTCATCCATTTGAATTATCATATCTATGTGATGAATATAAAACCAAATTAAAATTTTGTACAAACATACCTGAAGAATGTTTGTGCACTTCAAATAATTACCCGGCTCAACAATGTCTTATGACATATCAATTTGGTCGAGCCACACCAAATGCTCCAAAATATACATCGTGCGATATTGAAATGATGAATTATTTTGCATCAAATAGTTCCTGTCTTACTCGTGTGTAAAAGAAGGGAATGTATAAACTATCAGTTTGGGCCATTCGATTTTTTTTCAGATAATGTTACGAAAACTCATATGTTATTGTAGTGATTGAGTTTGTGATTCCTAACTTGATGTATAAGTGTTCTCTGAAAATTGAAATATCTTTGCCATTTGTAAGTTTAGCCATAACCATAATATGTCTTCTTGATATGAACTAAGAATAGAGATCCTACTTCTGAGATGTAGATAGATGCCAATGAGCTTATTCCTATTTCAATGAACACAGCATCTGAGCCGTCACAATCGATTTATTTCAGATCAATTGTTAGCATCGAGATTCTGATATCTCGAAGAGTTAAAAAGTTCTGACAGTCAAACTTTTTCTCCTATGAAGTTGATGACATGCCACAAGAGTATAAAGTTTTAAGTAAGAAGCCATTTGGTCGCATTAGAAAAATAGCCTTTTTAGACCAATCTTTTCGTCAATATCAAGAGCATTTATCATTCTCATACTCAAACAGATGACATATTCGAAATCTACACAAAAACCTAATAGGATTTGCATGTATTCGAAAACTTTCTGAGACTTTTTTTTCAAAAATTTTTCCCTTAGTTTCTTTTAGAGTCATGGAAAACAAAACAAATCGTTCGAAAGGTCTTTTTATTTATATTCAATCAATTTCTTTCCTGATCCTGAGGAGAATGAACGGAAAAGTTTTCGAAGACATGCAAATCCGATTAGTTTTTTGTGCAGATGATGAATATGTCATCTATTTGAGTATGAAAATGGTGAATGCACCTGATATTGACGACAATATTGGCATAAGAAGGTTATTTTTCTAATCCGATCAAATAACTTCTTACTTAAGACTTTATACTCTTGTTGTCTGTCAGCGATTCCACTAGGAGAAGAAGCTTGACTCTTCAAGCTTGTTTTGTTTACTCATTCTTAGCTCAACACATCATCATTTATGCGATGTTTTGATCTCAAAATGCAGTTCATCTCATGCTCTGTTTATTACAACAAGAGTGAGCTCATTGGCATCTATATATATCTCAAAAGTAGTCTCTCTATTCTTACTTACACTAAGAAGACATGCATTGGTTATGGCTAAACTTTCAAGTGGCAAAGGTATCTCAATTTCCAGACAACATTTATACATTGCATTAGACTCATGAGTCCACGTACTACAATACTACATAACCTTTTGTAACATTATCTATACCAAAAATCAAATGGTCTCCAACTGAGAACTTATGCATTTCCTTTCTCTTTACCAGTGAACGCTAATAAATGTCTTGACATTATCTATTTGAGTTATATATATATATGATTTGGTGCATATGTTTTATTCATTTTCTCTCTAATAAAATATACTGGCAACAAGCAAATTTGTTTTGAAAATTGTATTTCATATTTGATTATTGAATATAACGAGTTATTTCAATTAAAATACGATGTATTTATTTCAATAAGATTGAAATTTAATGATTTGATCAAGAATATGAACAAAAGGTTAACTTGAACTTTCATCAGATAAGATAGAAATGCAAATAAAGACTTTATAAAGAAAAAAAAGCATTCTCAATCAATAGCATATATACAGAGTATTCCAAAAGTTTATCGGAAAAATAAAGGTAAATATTCCTTATATAATTCAATAGATTTAACTGTTTTTTATTATACGATAGTATGTTCGTTGAACTTTTTTTCACCTAGTTTTTGATAAATATCTTGGTCGAACCAGATTAAAATAAGATCAGACTTATTAGTGACTAAATTCAGGTCAATTTCAATGATGAAAAAGAAATTCTAATCGAATACAGAAAAGAAAGAACTAGATGTGGATTATAGTAAAGATAATTATAATGATTTTGTAAGACTGATATCGTTGCAAAAGAACAATGTACTGAAACACTTTCAAAAATTTCACAAGAAAAATTCAACAAAAATTGTAAGGCTCGGTAAAATGAATGGTAATCAAATGAAATGACTTTTCATTTCAATAAACTTTTCAATAAATTTATCATAAAATTTAATATTAATAGAATACTTTGAAAAGATTAGATTCAATTTAGAACGAGGACTGAGAATCATTATAAACTTTTTTTTTGTTCAATCAAATTATACTAAATAAAACTTCAAAGACTACATTAGTATATTATGAAAAAAGTAATCAAATCGCTTGAATTTTTTAGGAGATGATTTACGTTTAATTTTCTAGCGGATTTCTCGGGCCTACTGCATTTTTGGTCTTTCGAATAACAGATCATCTTCATCATCAATATTTAGTTATTTTCAATCTTTCTATTGTTCGTAAAATCACAATTACTGATTTCTCTAAAACAAAAAAAAAACAACTATTTCCTATCGAATCTTTACCATTATAAGAACATTCCAAGATCAAAGTCTTATTTCCTAATTTTATGATTCTATCTTATTGCTTCGTCCTTCTACATGTAGACTTCTCTATAAAAATTTGTCGTAACAAATCAATGAAAACATTATTCTTTAAAGTGACATTTAGTGATTGCTCATATAATGGCATTAAGTCGAGTACCCTAAAGCAGCCAACATTTATTCGTCGGGTACAATTACCTGTGTTCGCTCTTCTCTCTGCTTCTATTGCTATCTCCATTTTTTTTTCTATTTCATTTCCATTGTTAAATTGATTTTCTTGCAGTTAAAACGTCTATAAAATGCTCAAATCTTTCAAAGTTAGTGATATTGATAATGATTATGATGATAAGATTTTAGTAACAAAACTTAAATTAACAAAAAATGAATACAATGCAACAATACGTAATAAACTTGAACATAATCGTCTTAAAATTATTAACAAACATATTAATGGTCATCATGACATAAATGCATGTAAATTACAATCGGCTATGCATGATTTTCGAAAATATTCAAATTATAATCAAAGAACTGTTCGTAATGTTGACGAATTTTTTATGAATAGAAAGGTAAAATTTTGACATGAAATTATTATTTAGTATTATTGGATTTTCTCATTTAATTAACATTTAGATACATGTGAAAAAACGGAAGAATGTTTTTCTGTTTCGTATATTTATCCCGCCCCGGTTTTTTTTACTATTGAACTACTTAAGTGTCTCTTGAATAGAGTTTCTTTTTTTTTTTTGTAAATAAGAAAGGAAATAAATATCTTGAATACGTAAAAGAAAAATTAATTTGAAAAAGAATCAACACTATGATTGATTCTTATATTTAAAACATGAAGCAATTGTACAAGAAAAAAAACAAGAATAAAATAAAAATAACATTAAAAATATTTTGTTTTTAAAACCTATTTTTATTATAAAATATTTTTCCTTCTCTCATCCTTGTTCTCTTTACCCCCCTGTAGTGAATAGAATGCCATACTCAATAGGTTGTTATAAATCTCAACATTTGATCTGAAATATTAAAAATTTCATAGTTTCATCATTTATTTTGTTTATTGCCCTTGAAAAATAAAATATTGATAAAAAAAAATGTCAACACCATTTGATCTACTTATATTTGGTCAACGAAAAATTGCTGCTACAGCTGGTTCATCGCTAAAACAAGAAACATTGACTAAAATTCGTCTTCGTATTGTACAACAAGTATATAATGATCGAAGACTTGTTTATCGAAATCGAGTTGAAACAAATCGACGAAATCTTGTTTTATCAACAATAGAAAATACACATAAACGTGAACAAGCTGTACAACGAACTCAAAAAGAAAATGTATTAACTGATTTAAAACAAGAAAAATATACTATCGATAGTTGTCTTGCACTTTTACCATCGTATGAACCGATTGATCTTACTGAACCGAAAGATGCCTATCGGTTTGGTGTACGAGTAAGTCATCAAACATGTAATTCTACTAGACATAAGACAAAAATAAAAAGAATTTTAAATTTTAAATGAAAGCTTAAATCTTTTTAATATTTAGGTTCAATCAGCTGGTCCTCATGTTCGTTCACGTGCACCTGAAATTCATTCGGCTTCAATTCGTTCTAATCGTGAAAATAATCAATCTCGTGCTAAATCTGCAGCAGCACATCCTCGATCACATACTGCACCTGTTCACATTTCTTATCATGATGATATTGAAAATGATGATGAAGAAATGTCAACATCTATTTCACGTATAACATCAAGTAAAATTTCAAATGGTCGTTTAACATCTGCTATTTCAAATGCAGATTTACTTCAACATTCACCTGAATCACCTACAGATAATCCTGATATAATAACATCAAGTATTTCACCACCTATGCATCGTATAACATGGCCAGTTAGATTAAAAGTTTTTGCGTTACAAAATGAAGATGAAACTCGTCAACAATTTTTAAATTGGCTTGCTGAAAAACGTAAAAATAAACGAAGAGAATCAACAAAACAATATTTTGATCTTGAACTTGAACGAAAATATCAAGAATCAATTCGACGACGAAAAGAAATCGAAAGTTTTATTACACCAGATATAATTGAAGAACATATTATAAATGATCCGATTTTTGCTAAACGTTATCGACAATTACAATTAGCTATTCGTGCTGGTAAAGTTCCAAATTATGATCCAAAAGATCATGAACTGAATATAATAATGACAAAATCTAAAATTGAACGTGTACGAACAGCACTTATTACAGCTAAACAATCACAAATAAAAAATTTTTATCAAAATCAACAAAGAATTAATAATGCTATTTTATCAAAACGTATTGAAAATTTTTTAAAACATCTTGCTGAATTTAATGAAGAACATGAACAACAAATTTAATTAATAAATTGAACTATTTCGATTGAAAATTTATTAATATTCTATACAAAATGGTAGATTAAAACTTGAAGTTTTTAATATCCAAAAAAATAATTTTATCCTTGATTTCATATGTCTTCTTTCCTTTTTCTTTAATGACCATGATGGCAAATCTAGACATAATAAAAAGAAAACGCTTCTCAGTAAAGCTCCTTCGGGAATAAAATATGAAATTCACTCACATACTTCATATAAACTAAAAGATATTTTTATTATACATATATATTTGATGTACTAAACAAAATAAATTTAAATATTGCAGCAAATAGAATAAGAAATATCAAAACATGGTCATATACTGTTTATTTAATAATGATCAATACTGGTGAGAATGTAAAAATGTCGTTCTTAAAAATTCATTATATGATTGAAATCTTATAAGTTTTAATGTATAAAATCAAATAGAGTACTTAAGTAATCTATGATAAATAATTGACTTTCACTTTTATTAAAAACACATAAGTGGTTGTTTTAGCTTGTGGCGTAAAAGAAAGAAAAAAAAAGTGCCTATCAATCATCATAATATAATAAGATAAAATGTAATTAATATAGATTAAATTAACCCTTTCTTGCTTTTGGCTAAATCTGACAGTTTGGGAGGACAATTCGCTCAATAACATCAATCTTATGGCTGCTAATATACATAGGAAAAATTTGAAGCAAACACATCAAACACCAATATATTAAATACGTAATATATTCGGTATTCGTTTTTTATTTGAAAAAACTTTTGAAATTTGCAACAAAACAGGCACGACAACATGATTTATGTGAATGCATCAACACCACATTTACGTTGTAGGGGTGTAGGTGTGACTGAACATATTGTTCGCCTATCCATCTAACCTTTCAGATAGACTTTAATTCTAAATGTCTCATAGTTGAAGAGAACCAAATTTTTATTACATGGTCTCCATAGGGCACGAAACGATTAACAACAATAAGCAGCCATAGATAACTGTTTATCGTTATTTTATTTCTTAGAAATGTTGTGCTATCAAGATTTGTTACATTACAACTTCAACTAACGAGGGAACATATTTGAGTGTCCTCGCTGAGAACCAGTTTAAAACCATTCTATTCTTCAGAGACCGTGATGAATATATCTAATATCGAATGACTATCATTTGCCCCAAATTGTGGTTCCCTGAATTAACCCCCAAATCATATCCCCATTTGGGGAAAAAATAGCAATTGATATAAATTCTGGTCACCAAATGGGGATTTTAGTTTTGAGGAATTTTTGATTTGGGGATATTTTTCATAAGATACACTATATATATACTGTAATTCAGCAGCATCTTGGTTCTTGTACTACGCTGTATCAACTAGAATAAAATTTTTTAGCATGATCATTCGATGCTTATCATTTGTCCCACACTGGTCACCACAAATGCATCCCAAAAAATCCCCATTTGGGGATTTTTTTCTCATGAAATATATTATACATCCTGTAGGTCAATACCGTTCTTTTTCTCTTTCAAGATCGCATTACCAAAAATAACACTTTCCAAGTCATATCTATTGGAATTGTTCAGTTCGAATTAGCTAAACATAATAACAAGAGTTCTATGATGAATCTGGTGACCAG